ACAAAAGCAAATGCCGAGTTTAAAATACCTTTTATAACTTGGGCTTTCGATTTACCTGAGTCCTGAGAGATGCTGAAAGATTTCAGCATGGCATTAAGAAGTCTGAGTTTGTGGCACTGGCCACTGGCTATGATTGCACTTGACTTCCTGGCGACTCACCAGTATCTTTGTTGTGGTTAAGTTGGTATTGTTAATGTGTAAATGTTCAAAAAGTGAAGGATGCTGGAGGCTTAATTTACGCCATAGTTCAGATTTGTTCAACGTAATAGTAGGGTTCAACATGGGAGGTTGATACCAGGAACAAAAGGATGGAGAGGTAGGAGGCAAACCTCTTTGTGCTGGTGGGTCAGTCTTCCTGAATTAAATCTTTATCTGCTATCTCTAACCCTCAGCATGGTGTAGTTTGAACAGAATGCTGAATATCAGGCACTGGTGCTGTTACATTATATCACTGTAATCTTAACAAAAAAATCTTGTGCCTTGAAAGGGAAGTCAAACACTGATATTTTGCAATTAACGCCATTTTAAGAATGCAGCTGAGATGAGAGAGAGATGCAGTATCAAAATAATTTTTAAATGAACATAATAAACTTGCTTGAATTAATACTTATATAAACACTCATAGATCATTTGACTAGATGTACTGTATATCCTACTGATTACAGTTTAGTCTATTAAAATGTTGAGAGATAAGCTCATTTTGCAGTCTAGAGGAGCAGCCTAGGGTGATTTTTGTTTGTTTGTTTGTTTGTTTATTTTACTTGAAGGGCAAAATTGATTAATATAGTACTTCATTAGCTAAATATTTAATTTTATGTTGTTGCTTCATTTGAAAGTATATCAGTGAAGGAAAGTATCCTTTGCAAAACAATACAATTTATAGTTTTCTTTATAATTATGCAAGGTGTCAAAAGCAGCTTTCATTCTTTGGGCTGTATGGTTGTATTTGACAAATCTTGACCATGCTTATTATGCCTTCTAGAGTCAAATGAAAATAACTTGAGATGTGGTATTAATATATGTTGGTTTTGTTGTGAAGAGGTACCTACTATTCAAGAATGTTCTGAAGCAACTGGTATTGATATGGACTTCCTGAGCATAGTGGGATAAGACCTCTGTCATCTATGGAGAGAAGACAGGACAGAAACTATACCTTGTGCACGCTAGCAAACCTGGTTACGCTTATAAAAGTATTCTTTCAATTTCTGAGTGGTAAATAAATCTAGGGTGAGTAGGAAATTTAAATAGGAGATGAAATAGGATTTGTTATGTAGTATTTTTGCTAAATGAGATCTAAACTGGTCATTAATGTAGTCACTGTCATAACTGAGGTAAGTGATTCTACCAAATTGTACTTGAAGCAAGGATTTCTAGGATGATATCTTTTATTGGACCAAATATGTAGCTGGGATAGATTTAGACAAGCTTTCAAATGCAAGACCTTCTTCCTCATGGCGGATCACAAGTAGCCAGGCACAGTGTAGTAAAAAAGAACAGCAGAAAAGTGGTGGGAGGGGGTGAGAGAGATTCCCAGGAGTAGCAGACACTCAAGACGCTGACAGACATGCAGCTCCCAGCTGTAACTCATGGCACTTTGCAGGAAGTGCCATGAGCTATAGCAGTGCCCTGGACCCAACTACATATTTGGGTCCTGGGGGTTGGGTTATTGAGCTGCAATTTAGAGTGCTAGATGAGTCTGCACCTGTTCTCACCTAGCTTCACCCTTCCCTCCTCCCAGTTCTGGTGGCAAATTCAGAATGTGAGTGGGGGAAGGGAGTGGAGGTCGCTTGGTCGGTTTGGGGGTTGCTAAACCAGTGGTGGAGGGTGGGGCAGGTGGATGGGAGCCATGGGAGGGGGAGAGGAATGAAAGGCTGTACAACCATGCCCTTACAGAAGATCACAGCTACAGAGTGCTTTTAAAAAGGGCCTGATCCTGCAACAAATCTGAACTCTCGTTACATGAGGGTTCAGATGAAGATACCCCAAAGCAGGAAGCCTTCATTAACTTGTGTCAGCCTGTGTGGGGAGCAGGGCTCAGCTGGTGTAGCCCATAGGGGAAGAAGGGAGTTCCCTCTAGGGTTTGCCTGAGGGGAAGATTTGTTGCAGGATCAGGCCCCTTTTAAAAGCGCTCTGTAGCTGTGATCTTCGGTAAGGGCGTGGTTGTAAGAGCCTCTCATTCCTCTCCCCCTCCCATGGTTTGACAAAATGTTACTTGGCACCCACAATTAGCAGAAGAAAAGAAGCTGATGACTGGGAGATCATGGTCTGTCAAAAGAGAGGAGGGTCTTTCTCATCTTCCAGGTGTGGAAAGAATTCAGGAGTTAGGGGTAAAAAATAATGTGCCATAAAACCAGTATTAGTGTTTAGCCCTGGTTTCTTAGTGTCCAGACAGCTTATGAACTTTTATTCCCAAGTCTCTCTTAAAGTTGTTGGGTAGATTTCCCTTAGCATAGCATGCCAGTGAAGTCAGAGAGGGAGTGGTTGTTTGGTGAGTAATGTGGTCCTAATGGTGCGTTACCCTCCCTGTCATTTATATTTTTTTTTCCTGAGAGCGCTCATTCTGGTGCATAGTTGTTTCATTTCACCTGCATAGTTGCCATGAAGGCACTTGGTGCATTGGAGCTGATAGATCACATTTTGGGAAAGGCATGTGTAGAAACCATGGATTCTGATGGTTTTGCGATGAGAGGTATTGAAAGCAGTGAAAGAAAATTGACAGCAAAGTAAAAAGCCAGATGTCACAGCAACATTTTCCTAACTCTATCCCAAATACATACATCATTCAATAAAAGGTATCACCCTAAAAAAAATCCTTGCCTCTTGCATAATTTCTAGATCATGGTGGTTACAACATCAGTCTTGCACTACTCTAACAAATGTATAAGAATATGGCTTATTTAATGTAAATGTGATAACATAGCATCTATTTAAAAAAAAATTATCTGCAGCTTTTTGCCAGAAATGTATAATTAAATGTTTACACTGAGATATTTTTACATGTGCCATTCTTTTGCATAAGGACATACCATTTCTTTCGGCTGGGTATATATAGTATGTCTTGTGAATAGATTATGGAAATGGACAGCTCACCAATGGATGAAAAGGTTTTGGGGAAAGGAATAGTGCTTCTCAAGGGAGGGGGAAAGAATACTGTTCCTCTGCACTTGTAAGTGGGTCCACTGAAGGTGCAGTCCTCTAAAAAAAACACAGGAAAATGGATTGCTCTCCTAGGTTGTAAGCAGCCTACTTGCATGGGTATAGTAGGCTGAAAAATGTGGCGTGGACTCTGGGAGGGAAGTGGTTGGGGGAGAATTACAATAGCCAGTGTTGTTTAAAACATGGTATTGCAAAGGTGTGATGGTATATTCATTGCAGTATTTGCATGCTTTCAAACATTAATCAGAAGTGTTCTAGGAAAAAATATTCATGAAAGATTATTGAATATTTTACAATAACTAGAGAGATGGGTGGAGTGATATTTTACTACAATAGAGGGATGGGGGAGTGAAGTGATTAGAAGTGCTTTACCTTTGACAGCAAATGAGCACTTTGGGAGAAGGAAATACTGTATTCAGTAAATTGGAAGTACTTCATGTAGTACTTGAGTGGATTTCTGAACTTGCTTTTTCTTTGAG